TTTCTTCTAGTTTTGGTTTTTTCCACTCATATGATTTGTTCCAATTTATAATTTCTTTAGTATTAGAGAGAGAGCCTTACCGACTGCTCATATGAATTAGTTCATGATTTCCAAGCTATTTAACTGTAAATTTTGCTTATCTGTCCAATACAATACACTTACTTTATCATCTCTTTGTTGCTGTAGTGCGCCATGTGCATCATACTTGCTCCGGAAACGAGCTCTATATAATGACATGTCAAGGTAATTGGTGCTTTTTGATTCCCCTTTTGAGTCTTATATACTGATGGAATATATATTATGATTTTAAGCATGGTATTCTCTTGTTTCTTGTAGGTATACTTGTTGTGCTGGCTATATGCCCTGCAGTGGCAAATGTGGGGAAAGTAAATGCCCCGAGTTTTGTCTTTGTACTGAGGTACAAAATTCACTTTTATGTTTGGTCGTTAATGGTGGTTATTGGGTCAGACTGATTTCTTCGTTTGCATATATACAATTCTCAGCAGACAAAGAAATGAGAAAATTTTGGTTGATCAGATTAATTCCTTGCATGCTACAGAATGATTACTTGTTTGGTTTCTCGGCTTCTACTTGGTGGTTTTACAAAACAATAATCATTGACTTGCGGGAAGTAAACCCAATATATCTACTTGTAAACAGTATTTTTGCTATTAGCATGGCAAGCATTGGGTACTTACTATTATTGCTGGGGGGGATGGGGGATAAGAAGTTGGTTTCTTCTTTTCAGAAGTGTGATTCATGTCTGGTCTTCATTGGGAAAGATACCTATTAAATTGTCTATTTGTATACTTGTCCAGCTCCATGGCTTCTTGCTAGAATAATTGGAAATTGCGTCCATATCTTGCTATATGGTGATTTCTATGTGTTCTGATCTCCAGGTTTTCTTCTGCTTTGGAAACTCAGTGGCCTCTACCCGTTTTCTTTTGCAAGATGAATTCAATATCCAAACAACAAAATGTGACAATTGCATCATTGTACTCTCTCTCTCTCTCTCTCTCTCTCTGTATAATCGTTGCAGCACTTCTTTACCTTTGGTTAAGTGACTCTTAAGCATGTTCCCTTTTGATATTCAGGGTTTCATGTTCTGCCTAAGCCAAATTGCATGCATTTTTAGCTTAGTTGCAATGATTGTTGGAAGTGAAGAGATTCAAGAGGCATCTCAATTACTGAATTGCTTGTCTGATATGGTGTATTGCACGTGAGTGTCTAATTTCATTAAACTCTATTAATTCCTGCTAAAATGGCTTGAAAATATGATACTGACGATTATATGATTCTTTTCTTTTTGTAGGGTTTGTGCATGTATGCAGGTAAGCAAGTGCTTCAAGTACACAGAACAAGGAGAATTTTGTTACTAATCATCTGAACCGTTCATATAATAGTCCCCTAACTGGATTCTTCGCAGACGCAACACAAGATTGAAATGGACAAACGAGACGGGATGTTTGGTCCACAACCAATGGCTATGCCCCCTGTTCAGCAAATGTCACGCATTGATCAGCCAGTTCCTTCCACAGTTGGCCATCTCCCACCACCATATGGACAGCCCTATCCACCTCCTCAAACTCAAGGCTATCCGGCACCAGGTTATCCTCCAGCACAGTACCCCCCTCCTGGTTATCCTCCTGCTCAGTATCCTCCACATGGGCATCCTCCAGCTCAGTATCCTCCACCTGGTTATCCTCCAGCTCAGTACCCTCCACCTGGGTATCCTCCCGCTAAGTAATCTTATTGTGATGGATAGATTGATTCACATGCCCAATTCTTTGGTAACTGCATGATTAAGACGGAGCTGTTTTGGCTTTATTAATTTTACTTTTACGTGGAAATGCAATTGGCATCGGCAGAGTTGTCCTGTTGATTAAACCTTGGACTCGGAGGGTTCCAGAACATATGCTATTGTCATGTCTTCGCCGATCAAAAAGATATGCTATTGGCATGTGTATTATAAGACATATTTTCCTTTTTATTTTATTTTCCTTCTTCCGTTACTACTGATTGTGCAAATCTATTGAACGTGGCTTTAACACGCATGTACAAACTGTAATTTAGTACTCCACAACTTTAGACAACCCGAGTGGTCTCACGAGTAGAAAATGGAAATGAGCACAAGCAGTCTAAATCACTTGGCACGACAAAGGCTGGGCCGTGTCACCTCCCACTTAATTGTAGGACCTGTAAGAAATGATTTTTTTTTTTTAAAAATCTCAAATGGTTGTTTTGAATGAACAAAAAGTATTATAGAATGAAAAAAAAAAGAGAAAAAATTAAGATATTTTGATATTAAAAATATTAGGATAATTAATAATATTCACAAGATAAATTTGATAAAATTATGATTCACATTATACCTTATATATTTATTAGTTGTGATTGAATATCTTGATATTTTTTATGTTAAAATATTCTGATTTTTTCTTTTCTTTTATAGAATTTGAATTATATAGATTCTACAATTTAAACAATTAAATAAAAGCTTAATTTTTATTTTATAATATAATATAAGTTAAATTATAAAACATATAACTCCTTTAATTATCATGAATGGAGTGTAGAGATAAATAATTGATCAGAGCATGTTTGGCCATTTTTTGTTCATCACATGATAGAGTCATCAACTATTTGTGGCAAATTGGAATAATTAAAACAAAAACTTTTATTAAGATTATTAAATAAGAGGAATGGTAATGGCCGTACACACTTTTGCTAGTGCCAAAGGAATTGTGTATACTATTACTTAGTTCAATTATAAAAAATAGTTAATAATTATAGTTATTAATTGATAATATATAGTAAAATAATTAATATTTGTAATCTAATAATTTAAAATTAATTAATTTATTAATTTTAAATATTTTATTAATTTTAAATTAATAAATTTAATTTAATTAAATAAATTTATTGTATATATTTTTAATTTTTAAAATTTTTTTATATAATTATAATTATCATCTTAAATAAATGGTATAAAAATCTGCTTAAATGATTATACCCCAGTTTTTTAATTTGAGAGGCTACGGCAGGCTCAAACTTTCAAAGAAAGGGTCTTCGTTGGGAATTGAACTGAAAAAAGCACAAAACACTGAAAAGATACCCAGAAGACCAGGGGGTATGCCTGAGGTCTAATCATACATTCCCACGTTCCCTTGTACAAATTAGAAGAGTTTTTTTAATTTGTATTTTAAGTTAAAGAAAAGATGTCATAAAAATATATATTTTTATTTAAATATGTAAATTTTATTAATTTTTAAATAAAATAATAAAATTTTGAATTTTTTATTTAAAAGTTAATTTTTATTATTTTTTATTTAATAATTAATAAAATAGTGATGTTAATATGATAAATAAGTTTTTAATTATTTAATTAATCTTTAAATAAAAAATAAAAAATTAATATTTTTAAATATAAAAAATTAAAAGTTTACTCTTATTTAGAATTCAATAAAATTTATATTTTTAAATAGAAAAAAATACTAAATTTGCACCTTTTCTCTTTAGGGTTTATGTTAAGTGTGTAATTATTATACTTTTTTTTATATTAATTAGTAAAATTTGTCTAATTTGTATTTTTAGAATACATGTTAGACCTTATTAATTATTGTATTTATAATTAATTTTATATAAATTTTCATACTAAATTGAGTTGTTTGGTTGATGATTTTGTTAACAACTATCAATTGTTAACTCTAATGGAACAGATTAAATACTTTAAATTATAAATAAAAATGATTACCAATTGTTAGATATTAGTTATTAGCTATTAATTACATCTAAACTAAACAACTAATCCAAACACTCCATCATATTTTTACATATTTTAAGTACAAAATATTATATTTTATTTTAAGTTTATATTTTGTATTTTATTTTAATTGAATCTAACATCAAAATTTATGCAAAATTAATTATAGATACAATATTTAATAAGATTTAACTTATATTCTAAAAACACATATTAGAAAATTTTCAAATTAGTATTGAAAAAAAATAAAAATTAACTTTTATTTAAGTAATTGTATAATTAAAATAATACATTTGTGATAAAATTAACAATGATTTTTGTATTTTTTTACATTAATTAATATAAAAAAATAAAATAATTATATTTTTAATATGTATTTTTAAAACACACCTAGAAAAACCCAAATTAAAATCAAGAGACCAAGAAATATTGTTACAAAATTAGGAATTTTTTTTTTCTTTTCTTACTCCTTTCTGCCAAAATTTCCCAGCAAATAAACAAACAGCATATTCATCAGTTCCCACTCAATTCACCATATCCAAAATTATATTCTCACATTCAACCGAAAATGAACAACAATGCAAGATTTTTAAAAGGAGGGAAAAATAACTTTATGAACCAAAAATTGCAAGAAAAAACCTATACAAATTAAACATCTAATTCCAAAATAATTTTTATTTTTCATTTTTTTTTCTGGGGCCATTTCTTGTATATGTACACTTACCCACGTCAACCACTCAAGTAAAATTAGAAACCCCTTTTTTTCCTCGAAAAATTAACAGCTACAAACCCAGCTAGTAGAAGAATTCAGAGATCTCGGAAGCAGCCCACAAGCTCTCATTGAATGTTTCTTGCTTGTCGTCGGGAACAAACGGCGTCCGGCACAGCGGACACGTTTTCTGGTGGTACCCCATCCACCGGTCGAGGCAGCTTCGGTGGAATATGTGGCGGCAATTCGTGAGTCGTCTGATCTCGTCGTCGTCCTCGAAGTCGTACAAGCACACCGCGCAGCTGTCGGGCGGGTCAAGGAGGTCCGAGAACTTAACCACGGGAAGGAGCTCGCAGATCAGGAGGGCGGATGCTGGAACTCTTCTATTCGCCGGTGCGTCGTCCTCCGGGGCTGAATCGGTCCAGGAAATATCGGGTTCGAGGAAATCAGGGAGACCCAGGTAGCGGAAGAGTGTGTAGATGAATTTGCTAACGTAACCCAGAATTGAAAGTACGTGGAGGAAGAGTTTGGGGAGGGGAAGCTCCGTATAACCCACCGGAAAGCCCATGAAGGAAAGAGAGAGAGAGAGAGAGAAATGTGTAGTGTTGCTTGGATATTGTGCGTTATGGCTTTTGGCTCTGGTTGGTGTTCTGGCCGGAGTCGTGTATATATAGTGAGTATTCATATGAAATTTTTGTTTCCAAGTTTTTTTT